TGAAAGTGAGGATGGCTTGAGGCACTTACTTATGAAGAGTGAGGAACAGAGTCTGCAGTATGGATTACATCTCAATATAAAGAAAACAGAAATCCTCACAACTGGACCAATAAGCAGCATCACAGTAAATGGAGAAAAGATTGAGGTTCTCAAGGAGTTCACGTTGCTTGTTCTACAATCGAGGCCAATGGAAGCAGCAGTCAGGACATTAAATGACGTGTAGCACTGGGCAGGTCAGCTTTGAAGGAACTCTTTCAAATGTTGAGGAGCAAAGATGTCTCCTTGAGGACTAAGGTGTGCCTGACACAGGCCATGATATTTCCAGTTGCCTTGTATGCATGTGAGAGCTGGAGAATGAATAAGAAGACCGAAGAAGAGTTGATGCTTTTGAGTTGTGGTGCTGGCGAACAATGCTGAAGGTACCATGGACTGCCAAAAGAACTAACAGAGCTGTCCTGGAAGAAGTGCAGCTGAGATGCTCCTTGGAAGCGAGGATGGTCAGATTTCGTCTCACCTACTTTGGTCATATTGTCAAATGGAGCCATTCCCTGAAGAAAGATGTCATGCTGGTAAGGTGGATGTTCGACGACAGAGGAGAAGGCCTTTGACGAGATGGATTGACACAGTGGCTGTGACAGTGGGCTCAAGTATAGCAAGGATCATGGAGCTGGCACGGGATAGGGCGGCGTTTCCTTCTGCTGTGCATGGGGTCACTATGAGTTGGAAGCGACTCGACGGCACCTAACAACAACAACAACAGTGGAACCAGGATCCCAAGGGAAATATCAGCAACCACATAGAACCCACTGTCATCACGGGCCCTCGTGGACCCTCTTAGTGTGCTTAGCAGGGATTTTAGGCAAAAAAAAATCGGTAGGTCTAAGGAAGTCAGTCTGCCTGTTTTTTGTTTTATGCCTTGAACCTGCCTATTCTTTTTTTGTTTTTTTTTTTACCTAGCTTATATCCAAATCTTAGACATCTCTTTCTTTCCTCTCAAAAATGAGAAAAGACAAACTCAGTGAAAAACACGTTAAGGCTGAGCAGGGGAAAGATGTACTGTGCCCATCTTTAGCCTTCCTAAGGCAGGGCCGTTGTCCCAGCAGGGGGAAGCCCATTTTTCTTACTATAGTGGCCTCATGGGAAACAGGAGAGGGAGAAACAATACAAAAGGAGAAAAACAACAAGTATGAGACCAGGGCCCAGGACTGTGGCCCAATAGTAATTATGTTCTTCACATCCATCAGCCTCTGTTCCATCTTGGGTGGAATGGAGGCAAGGAGGAAAGTGAGGGGACCGGCAGGAGGCCCTGCTCAAACCAACATGCCAAAGCTCTGCAAAGATGCAGCAACAGCTGAATTGAATGAAGAATCGTACTTTACATAATATTTTCTAACCTTCCTTATCTTGTATAAGAATTTCTCTGTGTTCTTTAGCATTCTTTGATTTCATGTTTGGTAACTGCATAGTGTTCTATAATTTGGGTTTACTAGTATTTTATTTAAGGAACTCTGATCGTGTATGTAGTAAGGGCTCTGGTGGTGTAGTGCCTAAGGCATTTGACTGCTAACCAGAAGGCTGGTGGTTCAAACCCACTAGCCACTCCTCAGAA